GCTACCCAAAGCTGACATCAGCCCTTTCATATTCCATACTTTCGAAGGGCTAAAGACTTCCTGAAACAATCGGGTGTAATAACACATTGTCCAACTCATTGGCCAGTTAGCAAGACTGCCTTTTTCTGGGGATTACTTGGAAGCAGGCTACTCGTGGTTTAGCTGTCCTCGATATGCATCGGAGTCAGCGAAATGTGGTGTTTGTTTTTTCCTTCGATGGGTTTGAACCATCCTTCCGGGCTTGAAAGTAGCGCTACTTATTACCACTTTGGGAGAAGGTGGGGAAGGCAAGAGCGGACGAAAAGCTGTAATCGACTTCTAAATATGGTAGGACTATTTCGTTAGTGAGAGGGGAAAGAAACAGAGTGGGTGGAAGGCCCAAGTCCGCTTCGTAATTCAGTATCAAATCGGGAAGTGAAAATATTTCGATGTATTGCGGCCTCCTTTCAAAAAGCTGCCTATCAGTCACAGTATTTAACGATGTCCACCGTGTACATATCGAAATTTCTGATTGCTATACTGGAATTTACATTTGAATTCTTTCGGTACTGATGCACGATCTCATTCGTACGAAAGGCAAACCGGAAGAAAGAATGGCTGTTGTTTCTGCAATTCCGGAATTGTTAACAAGCACTCGAAAATTTGAGGTTAGTCAGTCTCTATAGATTTTCTTCTTAAACCGCAGTGTATTTTTCAGCGTATTTGATATTTTTCAGTAGATTGGAACGACTTGACATCGTTACATAAATAACCTTTAACTCACTTCATTGCGTAAGTATTAGAGGCAGGAATTTAGGAGGCAAAAATCATTTTCTCATGATATGTAACTAAAAATCAGAGCCTAGAATGTAAAGTTTTGGATGTACTCGTGAATAAATCTGGAATTCCGTACGTACTTAATGCCTAAACGCTTTCTTGCCCGTTTTCTTGTGCATTTTTGCTGTGCAACGCTAGAGTGCTGCAACAGGTAGCAAAAACGCATATTGCAACGACCCTGTCAGTGTGTGTGTATGTTTGTGTGTGTGTGTGTGTGTGTGTGTATGTGTGTGTGTGCGTGTTTGTGTGCGTGTGTGTGTTCGTCTCGCCGGGTATTTCAACTCGCCAACCACGCAAGCCTTGAATCTGAAATTCTGCCAGTGTTTCCTGGCCAAGTGCCACCCCAAGACCGCGGCACCAACCCTCACGCACGTCTGAGCCTCGTGTATGACCACGTGAAAATTTGGCAGGAAAATTACTAACTCGGGAACGAGAAAAGCTAGAAAACTGAAACTTTAGGGGATGTTCCCAGCTGATTGTGTGACTAAAAGATTTCAAATTCAGCTACCTAGGAATGCGCGAGACTCACGTGTGGACACGTGACAGTTTGGGCGGGGAAATCACTAACTGGGGCACGAGAAAATCCAGAAAGCTGAAACTTTAGGGGAATGTTCCCTACTTATGTACGACCAAAATCAGCTGTCCAGAAGAGCCGGGGGCCCACGTGCAGACACGTGAAAGTTTTGGCGGGGAAATTACTAACTCGGGAACGAGAGAAGCGAGAAAGCTGAGGCTTTAGGGGAATGTTCGCTCCTCACATATGACCAAAAGATTTCAGGTTTACTCATGTACGGGTACGTGAAAATTTTGGTGGGAAAACTGCTGACTCGGGAACAGGGAGAGCGGAGGCTTTGATTTTGAGGAAATGCCGAATTTAACTCTTCTAATAGGGCCTTTTTCGCGGACCAACAACTTCCTATTTGTCGGTTCACTGAAGTCAACATCTAAAACTGAAATGCCACATAGCTGCACAGTTAACTTCCCGAACTTCGATAACCATCATGTCACAAGGCTAGCTATTGTGATTCTTTGCCATCTTGCGACAGCACGAAAAGTGCAAAAACGCATGATCGCACCGGCCCACTTGGTGCGTTCCAGCCTGGTTATTTCTTTGTGATGGGAATGAAAAAAATAGAAGGAAAAACGTCAAAAGTGCCTTCGACGTTTCCCCTCTACTTTTTGACGTTTTTTCTCCAATACCTTTAGCTGCTAGAGTCAACGTGGAATCACCCGCTCATGGTTGGATGGAAGGAAGGATTTTATTCACGTTGTGAGAAGAGGTAAAAATAAAAAGCCCGCATAAATTGCATACTCATGCCTTCCAGTTATGCCACAGTTTTAAAGGTTCTGGATACTGTGATCAAGAAAAGCCGTGCAACGCTTCTCAGAGCTGCAATGAAAGAGCGAAGAGTCAAACGTTTGCAGCAGAAATTTGACAGCAGAGCCGAGAAGTTATCGGCACAAATGGAAGAGCACTTGGTTGATTTGCGAGCCAAATTGTTCCCACCACCAAAGGGGTTGCCGCTGGAAACTTGGGCTCGAAGTGATACCTCCGAACAAGTGGCTTTCACAAGAATTATCGCAAATCGAGGCTTATGTGAGGAAAGTTTTGTAGACTTCTTCAGTGTTATCGTTGAAAAATCTCCCGTAATGACAGTGGATTCTTATCGGACTTGCTCAAATGACGTGTTTACAGAAAGGGATGAAACATTGGATCGTTTTGTAATTATTGACTGATTTGTTTTGCAGTTGCAGTTTTCACATGAAATGTCGAAGCAGTTACGGTGTTTTTGTATAAAGTAATAATGAACAAACAAGAATCTCTGTTTGAAGACTTTATTTGGCAGTACGGCTGGAGAAACTCTGTAGAATTAGTATGCCGTAATTTTGTATTTTCAGTGAAAACAGTGACAGTGTAATAAAAGTACAGAACCAAAGTTGTACTAATTATACAAAATTCAGTAGTATACATACTAGTGAAGTAGATTCCTGAGCAGAGATGGAGTTTTCAAGTGATGTGGGACTAGTGGTATTCTGCTGGTCTTATGTGGTATTTGTACAGCTGACGTAGAATTATTAAAATTTGGTGCTGATGCAGTACGGAACAATCGCGCTTGGTTATTTGAAAGTGTTTTTTATGTACAAAATGCGAACATACAAAATGAAAAGTACATAAAAAATTTGAAAAATGAAGTGGAAATAATGAAGAGACCTGAGTCATTCGAGTACAAAACTAGAAATGCATATACTAAAAGCACTGGTAATATCTTCCTCTGCCGTTCGCCTTGATAATGCTACCTCCGGCTTCGTCACTGATTGGGAGGATTTGTTTTATCAAACACGTACTGAGAGGACGACACCAGGAGCTTTCGAAAAATGCAATTTGTAATAAAAACAGTAATGCATACTATACAAACAGAAATTGATTCGAAAACAAATTTTGGAGCAAAAATCTTCCAGACCATTAGATGGCGTCGGTGAATAGCTGCCATCCCACAGACTGAAAGAGCCTGAAAACAGTACGCGAATTTAGCTAAGCATCATTTACAACGGTTTTTAAAAAATCGCGGAGCAACTGAGCGAAGAAAGATTTGGAGTATTATTTGCGCCACTATCAGATATTCTAAAATTAAGTTCGAAAGTGCACATTTTTTAAACTGTCCTCAAAATACATATTTTCCAAGATTAAGAAGCACGCGCAAATTATCTAAACGTATTCTAAAGGAGCAAATTTTTCAAACACAACCCCAAGCATGTGCTTTTATTTCGTTATAATTTCCACAATACATGTTTCCTACTTCGGCAGTTTAACTATTAGAAGCCACGAATTCTTCCACGTTCTTCCGCGTTTTCTAGATGGAAAAAGTAAATATTTTAAAGAAGACGAGAAAAGTTATACAAACCTTCAGGGAATAAAAGAAAAGTAGTTTGTAAGACCAATGAGCTAGGCCGTAATGATGCTCCAGTTGTTGAGTCATGAACATTGGCAGTGCAGCACAAACGATAATATGGGCCGCGAAGATATGCATAATGACCAGTGTGGCTGGCAATGCTTGCCATGAGAAATTACCCGGGATACCGATGAAGGCCGCTTGCCATGGAATCGATGAAAATACTGGCTGATGCGATAGCGCAAAGAAGCCGTGCGACATCAACAGCACAATGATCGTTAGTTGATAATGCTCTGCAAAAAGAACTTCATATTATCATTATTAGCAAATTCTGCTATTCGAGCTACTACTACAAACCACCATCTTACGAACCCAGGATGCATAGGATTGGGGTTTTGAATTACTGAGGTTTACAATGATTTTCCAGAAAATGCTAAAACCAAGTACTCACAATAAGCCGCCCTGGCACGGCTCATCTCTACGTCAAATTCGTCCTAATGCAAAACAAATTCGTCACACACATCTTACCTCAAAAAAACAAAATTTGATTTATTCTCGAAGAAACCTGTTTCTTCTACGTTACTCAAATGTATATCTTATTTAGTGTTCCATGAACATTCTAAGAATTTTTGACGCATTTTACTGAAGCAACAAGAGCTTACCATCCTCGGTAACATGTCGGATGAGGAACATTATTACAATAAGAGTGACAAAACTAAATACAAGGCCATCGCCCAGAATTAGTATTAAAGAAGCAGCTATGGAGAATAAATAGGACAGAGAGCAGCCATACATATTCGTGATGTTTTCTCCCATTGTAATGCGACAGGCCAGAAGTATTACACTCAGGATCGATAAGCCATAAACAATCTGAAAGCACTATGCGACAGAATGACAAAACAAAGTGATCTGGATTTCTGAAAATTATAAATTCCAATAAAGAACTTTTTGGAACTAGGTT